AAATCCGGAGGCACACATGGAAGACACAGCTGGGTGCCGGATGCCTCCAATATCGCGGCGGTATCGTATCTCGCCGTCCAGGGCTACGAAGCCATGAACGGGCGGGTATTTCACGCTGTCTCTCAGACCCTGGCAATGCACAATGCCTGCCGAATCACTCATTTGCCTGCCACGTCTTTTCTTTGCATGCTGGAGATCTCAAGCCCGAAGGCTCTTCCGTTATCTATTGAACTTTCTACCTCAGACTATGCACGTTTCAGGTTTTCATACATGCACCCTAGTATCTAGTGTCTAGAATGACTTGTGGACTACAACGGGTGATTTTTGCTGTTTCCTAGAGGCCGGGGCAATAGTCCGGACATGGATCCGACCTTGGCCGATGCCGGTATTTTATCCGGACATAAAGGCGGGGGGCCGCCAAAAAAAGTCCGGACATGACAAAATCAAGTCCTGCACCGGCATCTATCGGTATTTTCAGGGGTCCTCACGTGATGCGTGGATTTACGGGCACGTCACGCCCTCCGTACAATCACATCAAGCCGCCGCCGCTTCGCGCGGCGTTCCCGAGCGCTTCTCCCCATCAAACCCCGAGAGCTTTGGCGCCCTTGTCGGGATATTCATTTCGGGACCCCAGGATGCATGGCGAATAATTAGAACGCGTCTGACGCGTTGAGGACCCATGTGCTCCTCGTCAAATAGCATTATTTCTCATATTTAGAGCCTCTGTATCTAGTAAGAATGATTATGTACAGTATACTGCTTGTATTCACCATGAATCTGACACCCCTCGGGACCTTGCAATGCGGTGGGACTTAGAATTTTCGCGCTGTACCCGCTACCTTGGGCCATCAGCCACCGTTGACCCCGGGTCACGGCAGGGTCGATTTACGTGGATTTACAGTACCTCATGTAAACTAAGCCAAATATCTATACTTATTTCGCCCCTACAAAGCACGAACAAACAACGCTACATCTGGAAGGTGAGTCATGTGACCTCCGTCAGCGCCGGGCAGTCACACGCTCAAGGCCGCGCAGCCACAGGCAGCCACATTTAGAAGTAGTGCATACTGTTGGTGTTCTGTTCACTCAGAAGCAAATAATAAAATTTTCAGAATGAAAATTGTGTGATACAGGGTGCATAAGGACTACAGAAAATGATTTACTACCGCTCCAGATATGAGTTACAAATTAATGATGTAGCGCTGAAAAATACACCGCACGGAATCGAACCCAGCAGCACCAGATATAATGTCTTCGACGCACTATCCATTACACCATTCAGTCGTGAAAACTCTTAATAGTAATACCTATATATTAACGCCTGGGTTAGGGCGGCTTCCTAATAGGGCAGTCGACGGAGCCTTCGGCAGGTCACATGATTTACCTGCCTGATTTGGATTGTTTGTTCGTGCTTTGTAGGGGCGAAGTACCAAAAGTGGAGTGGCATAGCTATAGCGTGGCGCGGTGCCACAATCCTAAGGTACTACATATCATCGTCAGAACGTTGGGTGGTGTGGCGGTAAAGCCATGATAACCCACCGCACAAGAAATTTTGGTGGCTATAATCACCCTGGACAGGCTTGACGATTATCGTCATGGCTGCATTTGATTATGGAAGGATAGACCATGGAATTGTGTGGCTGGTGTGGCGTGGGAACAATGGCCCGGTGGCACTGTCTTGCACAATTATTCGCCGCTTGAGCGCTTCATACGGGACATACTCGATGAACTTTTGTCTCTGGGACACTGGCTAACTCATGAGTTGTACAGCTTCTCGCGTCGAGTTAACTCTGCCTGCCGCCTTTCGTTGTGATTGGAAGTGATGGACGTAACTTCTGGTCAATGTCTCTTGATCGGTACGTCTCGTGGAGGAACTGCATGTGTGCTGTGCTTTTTGCATGTTGTTCATGTATTGTTCCTGAAGCCATCCCGATCGGGGTGGCACCACTGACGCACCCGTCGCAAAGTAGAGGTTTAACTCCGAGAAAATAGTCCCCTGTTACATTTTGTCTTTTCTAACTTACTGTACTTTGTCAATTTTTTCTCCTCCAAGCCAAATTTCTCGCCGACTGGTTTGGTGTACCTGAGGACTCGGACGAGGTATCTGCAGATATCTGCCCTTCTTTCATGACATCGGTGCTCTAGACTCACTCGTAACATTGCATATTCCCGGCCGCTATCGCAATATCACCCCTGTTCGAATTGACTTTGATCGCGTGATGGAGTCATAGATAATTCTATTGCCTTATCTTACTCTCGAGACGAGATACTGACATACGCTACAGGGTGTCATGCATACAGATAGTGCCGGAGGTTTGTTGACCTTATTCGAGACAGGCGATGGAGCTTCGTACAACTAGTATGAGTCGTTCACCCCTTCTTACACGCAGGCAAGATCCCTTGGGTACTATGAATGACATTTGGTGGACTATCATGATTGTGATGAACTGTTCGCTCAATTCACAGGCCTCTCGGGTGGGTATATAGTATCGAAGTCCCCTTGAAGCCATATATCTGCTAGCTGGTCGCGCTAGTACCCGTGTGCAGCTCTGAAGAGGTATGCTGCTGACAGAGGTATTGAATGCAACGTACGGCGCATTGTTCATCGGACTGCTCTGCGCCGCCGTGTACGTGATTAGCGTCTGCTCACCCGGGTGTATCGTCCTGACCTAGCCAATTGCCAGGTTGTTCGGCGTCACCAACTTGCAGATTTTTGTTTACTTCAAGACATACTCTGAGGACTGGATCGTTTACAAAGTCGCGGTGCGTCTCTCGCTCTCTATCTGTGATGGACGAGCCTTGACGTTCATGGAAAACAGGCAGCAGGGCTCTGGTTTGCCCTCATTGAATCAAGAGAAGGATGTGCCTTTCTAACTGAATCACAGGTGTCTGGATGCACTCCACCTCTGTCTTGCGGCACACGCCGTGTACTTCTACCTCGTCATACATTTTGGTGTGTTTGATTTGGACGTTGTGTGGTCTTTCAAGGTATCACTATCGGTCATCGCCGGGCTCCACATCTGACTGCTTAACACTAGCTACAGATGGCCCTTAACGTGGGTCATATGTTATGCGTCAGTGGTGAAATGTCCTCATGAGAATACATATGACAGATTATCACTATCCTCGCGGTCCAGTCGTGTGTATATCTGTCAAATTGTCCTGCTGATGTGCTTAACCATGTCTCTTGACAGTCTATATGTGTTTCGTCTTTGGAAGCGTATGTCGCCGTCGAATAGCACTTCACAGGACACTCATACAACCCAGTCAACGGTTCTTTCCGCCGCAAATTTTTGCTTTCCTTCGTGGTGAGTGTCTCATGTGGAGTCCCACATTTATTCTGACCAGCCCTTCCTCAGACTGTATCCGTTGTTCTGGGGTATGGTGTCGGCATAGGTATGCTGCCCATTGTTGCATGCGCTAACTGGCTAATGTGCGAACAGCTGCTTTCTATTTTCTGTAAGCTTCCCGGAAAAGCCTTTCTGCTGACTTCGCCAACTCACGGCACAGATATACCATACATACATTCTTTCAAGCGGAGAAAATGGGGGTAAGCAGAAGGAATGCAATCGTGATCTCGAGGCAAGGCTGACGCACAGTCATGCTCAGTGGCTGATCTATATGACCTTCGGGACGTCGACCGTGGTGGATGCTACTATCGCTGGCGCTTTCTGTTGGATACTATGGACTCATCGGACGGGTAATCCAAAGTCAGTCACCTTATATCCTCGCGCGTTTTACGGTATTGTAGTGGGGATTAACATGCCGAGATAGATCCAATTCCATCATCTATAGCATCATATTGTATGTCATAGGCTCCGGCGCATTGACAAGGTTAGGGCAGCCAAGTCGCTCTCCAGACACGAATCTGACAGGTTATGGTCTCCTTGCAGCATGTGCTCCATAACCTGCCTCGCGACGGTCAGTCCTTGCGTCAATGCGTCTTAGGAATATTCTGATGGTCTTCGCAGTTTGGTGCCATGCCCGGCACCTTTTCCTCTTGGGGAATCAATTTTTTGCTCAACAAATGTATGTTCTCTGATAATGAACGCACCCGGTTGACTCACCTCCACCGAGTATATGTCAACTCGTTCTTGGCAGTGTACGTCTGCAAATTGTCCGGGCTTCTCCTGTTCAACGGACTGATGTCGTGTCAATATAAAATAGTCTGAATGCTCGCCAGTCCTTGAAGGATAGACGCCTTGACGACGATCCGATATGCGTAGCGGCCTATGAACACGGGAACGCTGCGTTGCAGCTGGACAAGGAGTTTGGAAGGGCTACCAATAGCGTAGGTCTTAAATATCTTGGTCCTCCCCTTTGTCTGATTGCTGCAATAGTCTGTCAAGCAGGAAATGAATAAGCTATCATCGCCGGTAAGCCGAGAGGTTGTCATGCCGTTTGTACCTGTTTATGCTGACGACATGGCGCCTGCGCAGACTCATCATACTAGGAGTATCGAAATAATGATACAGCAGGAAGCGTTTACGCGGGTCGGCTGAAGGCGTTTTCTGTACGAACTGCACATCATCAGAACACTTCGCCTGAATCGCCTTCCTGACATACTGAGTATGTCGTCCGGATGCAAATGCTGATGAGGTCTGTTCTTGTATTTGATCGGGGCTCGAAAGGTCATATAAGTCGTGACGTTATCTACGGAAGGGGACTAGGTCATGTTGCCATCTTCTTCTGCACTACTGTCTCGCTTGTGTTCCAACGCACAGCCATCCATTTTCATAAATATAGCGAGGGGTTTGATGCATCCTTTTGCAGTTTCCGTGCTGTGCCAGTATGGCACTGAACATGACAGATGTTGGTATCGCAGTATCCACAGAATCAGCAAGTTGCGAAGCCCAGAATCTATGTTCCAGGTCAGAGAGGCACATTCCGTAGTATCATAGGTATGAGAGATTCAAGCTAACCACGTTCCTGCACTGAATGGTGACGCATCCAGGCCGGTCCGAAAAATGCTGGTGTTTTGAATGATGGAGCGTTGCTCATCTCCACAATCTGACTGGACCACCCAGATCCCTTCAGCTGCGTTTTCCGGCCAACGAAATCATCTGCCCCGTCAGATATCAATCCCCGTCATCAGAAACTGTCATATTGCTTGATGATGGTATGCATCACGGAGTCAACAAGGATCATGACAGTTCGTTACCACTTATATGTTCCTCTCACCATTGAATTCTTTCTGGACAGATTGCCATAGGCCCTCATGACCTCGCTGGAATCAACCCTGAAGACGAGCTGGGGGGGCCTTCTTCGTCGGTATTCTGGTGGCTGCAATGTAAGATACTAATACCTGATCTCGTCCGCTATGAGCATGAATTCCGACCCGCAGAATATATCGGAAGCCTTCTGGGCATAACCAACCTTCAAGCCTTCGTCTACTTCAAAAACTATAGGAACGATCGGCTGGTATACAGAATTTCGGTGAGATGGTCATCTATGGTTGTAAATTCCTAACACTAATCTGTATACGTTAGATTGGCCTCCTGTGGTAAGCATCGGCACCCCCTCCCTGTTGCCATTCAATCACAGCCTTGGATGGGTTTTTAGATGCTTTTCATTTCGCATTGACAGCCCATACCGTGTATTGGTACTTGGTCACCAACTTCGACTATGATATCTTCTCGCCGAAGCCCCTGGCCGTGGTATGGCCTTTTAGAGTGAGTCGATTGTCGAGCGCCATCGTTGAGAGGTGAAATCTCGAATTCGCACCTACATCGCGACGTTAGCTGCAGTTGGTATTCAATGTATGTAACTTCCTATCTCATTTTATTCATGGTCAGGTCTTCTGAGTTTCGAAATATGCAAATCCCCACGATGTTGTCTGTTCAAACGTACGTCAGAGGTTTTCCTCCACCGCGACAGGTGCAATAATTTTGCCCACTGGCACTCCCAGGCTATACTTATCTCGCCTGTGGAAAGGTCAGTTCTCTTACATGTTATAATGGCTCTCTATCGTGACCAAGGGGTAGTCACCGGGTCTCGAAGTAGGAAAACGGCGGTGTACGTTGTAGTGGGTTAAACTGCCATCTCCGTACCTTCACATCGTTACCTGCGAATGGCCTTGGATTAGATGGCGCTTGTTGCGGTCAGTTATGGTACGTTGTACACGCAGTTCACCGGTAAAATTTTTTTCACCTGATCATCAGACCGCAGGGATGGGAATAGGTATACGACACCGAAAGCACTGTTCTGCTGCGCTTGACATGTTCATGTTGATGCGGCAGCCACTTGCTACTTCATGTGATTAGTCGATTTGGTCAATCTTCAGATCATCTCCCAATCTTTGTCAGATACAAGATTCGTGTCGTCACGGATGTCTACAAGTAGGGCATCAGGGTCACCCCTGACATAGTCGAATGCAGTGGCTCATCTACTCGAGTTATGGTACGGGCGGTGGTGGATATTGCTATTGGTACCGCTTTCTGCTGGACTATCCTGCAGCACCGGACTGGGCATGCTAGGTAGGTACAGCAGCTCGCGACCATAACTTGAACTTGAAGTTCCGCGCATCCACCAATTCCTGCAGGACAGACTCTCTGATTAACCGGATTATCGTATAGGTTGTTTCGTCGGTGGCTTTGACAAGGTATATATTGTTAGATATACCCAGACTTTCAGCCGTCTGACCTACCACCCCAGTGTCTTCTCTGCAATCTGTTTTGCATCTGTGAGCCTCGAGATGTCTGGTCAAGTGTGAACGAAGCCCACTCACGCATCACAGTTCACTGCCATGCCTCGCAATTTTGTTTCGTTCGGAATCAGCTTTTCACTCAACAAATGTGCGCACACATATGTTCTTGATGATAAACTGAACTATAGCACATGATAGTACCAGTTACGTGAACTCCCTTTTGGTAGTGTAAGTCATTGCGGCGCCCTTCTCTGTTGACCTGAGGGGTCCTCATGACTCAGCCAGCTTGAACTCCCGAAATGCCATTCTACAGCAACGTTCGGACGGTGAAGCAGCCCATGAAGGCATGCAGCCGCATGACAACGCCAGGGGCCTGGCTCGTTCGATCCGTGTCAGTAGGCTTATACCGAGTGAAAGAGCCTCTGATGGAATGACCAGTAATGTGAGGTTGTATATGCACATGTTGACGGTTAGAACTTACACCTCGGTCGTTCTACAGCCCACAGAGAAGGAGGAAACGGGCGACTACCCCGAACGGACTTCAAGGCGTAAGTGTTCAAATGCGGGTCACCTAGGTCGTTCTAATGCAAATTTGTAGCTTCACCGCATGAAGAGCATAGAAACCATGGTTGAAAGCGAAGCCTTTAGCCGAGTAGGATAACCTGGTAACTGTTAGAATGAAAATGCACGAGCACGTCCTCTATCACGACTCTGTACTTGAATTAACGTGATAAATTGGAGAGCTCCGCGGTCTTCAGCTTTGCCTAGAGATGTTCTAAACCGTTTTTGAAGGAAGGCACAGTAAATTCGTACAGGAATAGTAGTGGATGTAGATGCAAATGAGGTATTGAGTGGGGGAGGATGACCCGTTCGATACTCACATTCGCGCGATTGCCTGCGACAAACAGCCGGGGGATTGGAGCACGAGTTAGCCACAAGCTTCATCAGAAACAAAATGGAGTCCAATTCCGAGTCCTCCAGTGCGGCAGGACATGTACTAGAATCTTCCGAGTCTTCTAGACCTACGATGACATCTTCTATATCTTCTCTACACTGCAAATCTTCCGGGACCCTAAGAAACGCAAATTGACATGAAGACCCTTACACTGGCAGCAATTGGCCAAACAGGGGGACGTTGGATAATGAGCTGCGATCTAGTCAACGATAGCTAATACGCGTTCCCATTGGCTGGGGCCCCGGCGGAGGTTACCGGTGCCCACCACCTCTTGTCATAGTCTCCGGATGTCGGTCGACGACTCTCGACGGCTGCTCGGTTCTAGAATATCCCAGGAGCACTAGACTGCAAGTTGCACCGTTAGCTTCCATACGCTGACTTCGACTGAGTACTTAGTACCGCCGGTAGACCTCATCATCTGCCGGAGTTCTCGTGATAGACCCTTGAATATTTGAGGGGAAAGATGCGCCAAATTTGCGCATAAATGATTCGACCCATACACCGTGCTGAGCTCAGCCTTATTCGGCCGAAATTACTCAAGGAGATTCCCGTCTCACAGCCTCAAGTCCATCCACCTGAATATCGTCTCTACTCGAGTCCATGCATGGCAGGTATGCGTCAAGTCAAACTATGGTGAGGATTGGTGCTGGAAAGGCTAAGCCTCATCGGTGTTTCTCCCGGCGGGTAAGCGCCAGATGTACATACTTAATCGGCTACTCTAAGTACATACAAATATAGTGATTTCCCTACGGAATCCTGAGCTAATCGGCTACTCTAGTTAGTGAGTTCGTTTGACCACGCCAATCAGTATGTTTACAAGGTAGAGTGTCCCGATACGCGCTCCACGGTGAGTTCCCATATGTTCTGATCTTGTGCCTGCCGTGTATTTATTCGCGATCATTTCCGACTCTAAATGCATCTATGCTAGAGGGGCATCAGCGGCAGGCGGCAGAAGCGTCCTACCTTCAAGACATTTTTCACCGGCAGTCGAGACAGTTCCGAGCCCGGCGCTTAGACAAGAATAACGCTGGGAGATTGAGGGGAGATGCGCCTTCCGCCCTTGATCCCGGGTGTGTCTTCGCACCCGGACGGCAGACACTTAGAGGCTCGCTGTACCCCCCCCCCCCGCGCGTTGCTACAACATATTTGCAAGATGTTAGCTGCTCAGATAGCGGTTATAAGCTTATGCACTGTAGCCCGGGAAATGCTACTGTCTACTTCGTGTCTTAACATAGGCAACTTTGCATGATGACGTGTGGCTGGTGTCAGCCGCTCAAAATAGTCAGGCACGAGGGACTACATTGCAGAGCCTTTGCTTGGACGCGGGTATCCATCGACAACCTTGACTTCCTACCACGCGCAACGATGGATCCCCCAAGGCCACAGGAGACTTCGACGGGCGCGATACTGCTGAGTAACGTGAAAGAATCACTGAAACTCGTTATGAACATTGCCGACGGGGGCGTTAGTGTCCCATTCTTGAAGCCAGCGATGCAGATTGCGATTCAGATCATTGAGAGTGCAGAGGTACCTACTCCTTCACTTCCACGTCAATAGAACTAACTGTGCTTTCTGTGTAACTACCTAGTTGATGAAGAGGAATAGGGAAGACTGCCTCGAACTCGGACAGCAGGCAGGAAGGACCATACTGTGTGTGCACAGCACTCTCCAAGGAGCAAGGCCAAATGACATTGCTATGCTGCAATCACAATTAGGCGAATATCAAAAGTGAGCTATGACTAGTGATTATTATTACATATCCTCATGCAGTCTGTAGGACACTGTCACTGGTACTCAATGGCATGAGAGACATGAAAAATCGCAAGCGTGTGATGCGGTTTCTAGCCCGCCAGTCAGAAGCCATTGAACTTGTGAAGTGGAAGAATCATCTAAATGAGGCATACCAACAATTTGTGGTATGTTATATACATTGTGCCTGCATTATCTGACATATTTGGTCCAATATAGGTCTGTGGTGTAATAAACACCCATATCATTGTTTCTCGGATCTACAAGGAACATCAGCAAGCCTCTGCTCTGGTATGTAATAAGCTATAATTTGATGTGTGAAGCTCATCTGTGTACAGGAGGACCAAGGCAAGGAAAGCCATAGGTTTGTTGTCATGCAAAAATGCATTCCCTAACACATACTTACATCTTATGTAGGCTCCTCAACTCCAAGTCACTCCCTACCAGGTCATATATCTTCCATGGGAGAGATACAGAAGTAGCAGAAGCCCTCAAGCTGATTCTGGATTCTCCGCCAGGTCCATCTTCTCATCTGGCAATACTTGGATCTGGTGGGATTGGCAAGACCTCTCTTCTCTTGGCTATCCTCCATCATTCTCGCATTCAAGACCACTTCAAGGAGCATATCTACTTTGTTTCTTGTGAATCAGCTGCAAGTGCTTCTTTGCTTTTATCTGAAATCACCAGCACATTAGGAGTCCAGAAGAAGGATGACAATGACCCTTTGAACAGCCTGAAGACCTGGCTTCAAGGATCACATAGGTTATTGTTGGCTCTGGATAATTTTGAAACTCCCTATGACCAAGATGATCCAAGGGAGGTTCTGAAAGTCCTTGGCAGAATCATGGAAATTTCCCATGTAACTGTCATTCTCACTATGAGGGGGAACTTGCCTCCTGAAGACATCAGATGGGATCATATAACAAAGGTACAATCTTTGTCCCATGAAGCATCAAAAAGGGTTTTCCTTGATGCTGCAGGAATACACCAGAATGAGGAACAAAGGGAACTGGAAGAGCTACTGAAGGCAGTTGATCATATCCCTTTGGCAATAACTCTGCTTTCCTACCGTGTCAAGCAAGACATTGGACCAAAACCCATGGCAAGGCTCCTCAAACAGTGGAAGGATGAAAAGAGGAAAACCTCACTACTAAGGTATAGGCAAGCATGTAGCAAACTAAACAACATTGAAGTCTCCATCGAGCTATCCCTTAGGAGCAAGCTTGTGCAGAATGCCAAAGATGCATTACGTCTTCTGTCCATCATTTCATACCTGCCAGATGGAATTCCAGCTCCATTCAATCAAGAGGGTGAAGCTGGAATGGAAAAGTGGGAAGCCATGTCATTTGGTCTGGAAGGGAGGCATGATGCTCTTCTGGCCTTGCTCACTGTGGGACTGTTGGACATCACTCGGGATAGTTTAACAATGCTATCCCCAGTCCGGCACTACATCTCAAGTCAGTATCCAATGGATCAGGGGCACAAGCTGGTCTTGGAGAGTTATTATATTGCTCTGATTGCCAAGTATGACTGCAATCAGCACAGCACAGTGAATGGTCTGCTGGAGATGGAGACTGCAAACATCATCCATGTGGTCAAGGAAGCTTGCAAGACTGAAGATAAGATTCATCTGGAATTGTTCCAAGCTGCTTATGGAATGTCACTATTCCTCTACCACAGCAAGCCATCAAATGAATTGCTTCATATTATCACACCTCTTGCCACAAAGCACAAAGGGTTTAAATTTTGGGTGGAGTGCAAGCAGCTTGTGGGCAACATGCAACGGCGGTTGTGCCATTTTTCTCAAGCAGAGGTTGAAATAAAGCAAGCATTGCAGCAATGTCAAGAGAGAGGATACAAGACTGGTGAAGCACAATGCTTGCAGAGCCTTGGTGAGATCCTGCAGATGCAAGACAGATACACTGAAGCAAGGGAGCATCTGCAGGAAGCTCTTGGCTTATTCAAGGACACAGGAGACAGGCTTGGCGAAGCCCAATGCATGCAAAGCCTTGGGGAGATTCTGCGGATGCAAGACAGCTACACTGAGGCAAGGGAGTATTTGCAGAAAGCTCTTGGGTTGTTCGAGAACATAGGAAACAGGCTTGGCAAAGCCCAATGCATGCGCAACCTTGGGAACATTGTGCAGATGCAAGGCAGCTACACTGAGGCAATGGAGCATCTGCAGGAAGCTCTTGGGTTGTTCAAGGATGTAGGGGACAAGCTTGGTGAAGCACAATGCATGCAAAGCCTTGGAAATGTCTTGTGGATGCAAGAGAGCTACATTGAGGCAAGGGAACATCTGCAGGAAGCTCTTAGGCTTTTCAAGGACACTGGAGATAGGCTTGGTGAAGCACAATGTATGCACAGTCTCGGTGATATATTGCAGATACAAAACAGCTACACTGAGGCAAGGGAGCATCTGCAGGAAGCTCTTGGGCTGTTCAGGGATATAGGAGATAGGCATGGTGAAGCCCAATGCATGCACAGCCTTGGTGAGATCTTTCAAAAGCAAGACAGCTACACCGAGGCAAGGGAGCACATGCTGGAAGCTTCTGGGTTGTTCAAGGAGATAGGAGACAGGCATGGTGAGGCCCAATGCATGCACAGCCTTAGTGAGATATTGCAGATGCAAGACAGCTACACTGAGGCAAGGGAGCATCTGCAAGAAGCTCTTGGCTTGTTCAAGGACATAGGAAACAGGCTTGGTGAAGCCCAATGCTTGCAAAGCCTTGGTGAGATATTGCAGATGCAAGACAGCTACACTGAGGCAAGGGAGCATCTGGAGGAAGCTCTTCGGTTGTTCAAGGACGTAGGACACAGGCGTGGTGAAGCCCAATGCATGCACAGCCTTAGTGAGATATTGCAGATGCAAGACAGCCACATTGAGGCAAGGGAGCATCTGCAAGAGGCAGTGCTTCGGTTCAATATGATAGGGTATCTGCAGGATGTATGAGCCTGTCAGAAGCCTTGACAGAATCTTGGAAATGCAACACAGGTAGGAGGCGGACAAGGGACACAAGAAAGCAGTGACTTGACTCTCATATCACTGATAAGTTGTACTCTTGCCACACATGTATAGAACTCAATTCATCTCTAACATAACATATGCTGGCTGAAGTAGCAAGCATGATTGAATAAACAGTGAGATGCAAGCTATAGCAAGAGCCTACTCCTTGGTTTGTGTTTTGCTGTTGCAGAGGCCAGCGGACTCAGCCAGAACAGTGCATGCAAGTACTGTGGGACGCTCGTGCCATATGTGGGTGCTTAGAGGTGCTTCAGTTGGGGAGGTGCAATCCTCAGGTGCAAGATGTGATGCTGACTAAGTGATCAGTGCCATATTGTGGGGCAGAAAGTGTCCAGAGGACAATTGAACACATCGTGGGTTCATTTGTGCATCTATCCCCTCGTAGGCTTGCATACAACTAGTAGATAAGCTTTTGATGTCTCTTTAAAATGTTTTTACCTCAAGGCTGTGGCTGCCAGGCAGCAAACACTGAAACATGAGAGGGGGCTCTGTCCAGTCCTGGGTTTGCTTTGGCAAGTGCCGGCCTTCAGTCACAGGTCGTGAATTCAGATCCCACAGGAACCATCAGGGAGTTTTAGTGGATATTGCGTGTTTAGCTGAGTCCCACAGTACCGTGGGAAATCCTTAATGTAAAAGGCTCTTTCCCATGGGTCTGTGTAAATGCATTTCTTCCTGGAGAGTTAGTGCTCTTCTGCTACATGCTAGATTAGGGCAAAATGTCCCTAACTGGTGCAAGACCCCTATGCTATGTGCCCGACTGCTTCAGGCAGCCAATGCTGTAGGATTAATGTATTAGATCCCCTTTGTTATTGTAAAGCCTTTTACATTAAATAGCCTTTACAATCATCTGTAATGTATTAGATTTCTGAGTACCCTATGCATTTCCCACCACGCACATCAATGTTGGGCCCATCCAGACCACCCCTTGGTGACTCGGCACCAGTCATCCTCAAAATCACCTATATCACACCACCCCGGGACAGCCAATGCACCTACAGCACTGGAAACACTCACAACAACATCCTATCACATGCATCATCCATTCCTGAGCTTACCCCAACCACCCCGTAAGACAGTAAGCATCCCTAGAGACCTAAGACACCCACCCCGGGACAGTGGCCACAGCCAGACAGTACTGGGTTGACTGCGAGTTAGTGTCCCAAACCGTCCGAAAAGGTCCGAAAATGCACTGAGGTCATACTTTAACAGGCTGGGTGGACCAAAGCATGGGTGGGGTGCAGGTAGATGATGCATCATGCATGGGGCATCATTGCTAGTGTGTTTTGAAGTGTTTCCATGGCTGTAGGTGCATTGGCTGTCCCGGGGTGGTGTGATATAGGTGATTTTGAGGATGACTGGTGCCGAGTCACCAAGGGGTGGTCTGGATGGGCCCAACATTGATGTGCATGGTGGGAAATGCTAATATACACCAAGGGGAGTGTGTTATAACCCATAGTAACACAAGCAGTAGCCATGGGGGGTCCGTAGGAGGAGTAATACCCAAAAGTGGTAGTTAGCTGCTTGTTGTTCAGAATCTCTTGCGGTCTTATGTAAACATGTAGCCTTATATGGGCTGGGTAAGATCCCCAAATGCCCAGCAATGTGGCATAGCAATAGTGTGGGAAAATGCGAAAACTTGTCCCAGAGCCAGCGGTGAAAATAATTTTTGTACAGCAATGCACAGCCCATGGTACCTACACATGATTAGGACAAGCACTCCCTGTTCCTATGCACTATCTTAACTGCTACATTAGGAACAACATCGACAGCATGGACAAATAAACCCAGATATGGAAAGAGGCTGGAATGAAGATCCTGGAGGTATCCCATATCAATTGCTGCCATATTTGGCATGTGCTGATGTAATGTAGTGATGCCACATGTGGGCCGTTGATATGCACAGACACACAACAATCACCAAGGACCAAAAGAAATAAACCTAAACCCAGTGATATGGGTGAAGGCGGTTCGAGACAACTGAAGGGTATTTAATAGTTCAAGGGGGAAAGGAGGAGTAAGACGCCGTACGGTAGTCCGTAGGAAGACCTAGAAAAATAAAACAAAAACCTTGACGCCTGAAACAAACACTAATGGACGCTCCGGAGTATTTATTTCCGGAAAGTCACAGACAAAGTCGCAAACCACAGAACCGAGTGTAGGTTCGGGCCCACGGGAGTAGAAAACGCTAGAAAGACTTGTTTAATTTTACTTCGCTATGTGAGACTCACCGGAGATAATTAAACCAACGGCAGAGATAAATCACTCGACGAGTCAGGCCTATTGGCAAAGCTAGGATCGGTTATAATTCGCTAAGTTCGACGCTTTCAAACTTTGAGGGTCGCTGAGATCGAAACGCTAATTCTCTGAGATGGTGAAGTGCAAAACTTGTTTTTCTGTACACTACTTTGTACAATTTATACTACAGGGATGGATTTGCGACCATCCGGAGATAAATAACAAATAACTGCCGCTACCCACAGGATTGCTCAGCACTTGCCGCCGCTATACCATGCACCATATGACTCCCTTGCACTCCTACTTGCTCGTCCCAACCCCTAGA